TGCAGGGACGTGTAGCTTTCCTTAACATAGAGAGCTACCCCCCCGCCCCTTTTCTCTACACGATCCCTCCTGTACAGGGTATACCCATCTATCCCCGTTTGATAGCAGTTAATTACTCCGCTGTAAGATAGTACTGTCTCCAACAGTAATATCTTATGGAAGAGTTCATTAGTTTATTGCACCCTAATACCAGCGCACCTATAGACAATGATGCTTTACTAGGGAGCTAATTAGTCAACTCTACAGTAAAGCACACGTGTAGATGCACCCAGTACCTAGTAGATTCCTCTTTCCCACTCCCTTGTATGTTCTTCCCTAATTATAATTTCCCAGCCTTTGCTATGTCTCTAATCAATTCCAGCCCCCAACACAAGTAGTCGAAAGCCCCCAACCCCCTGCATGTACATGGGCATTTGTAGAACTGATACAAGATCCATGGTCTATACAGGGAAGTTGCTGGCAAAAGGCTTTGATACATCATCTAGAAGAATAAGCAGCACAGCTTGCCTAGCTAAAATTCTGTCAAGGGGTCGCAGGTCCTAGTCTTATTGGCCTGCCTGGTAACCTTCTTAGGCAAAAGAGCTTTGACGATCTTGAAGCCATCTTCCTACCAGTTGCAATATTCACTCATAGTAACAAGAGATCTTTTTGAGAGTCAGCAAGTATCAATTCCAGCAAGCCCAGGCAAGAGCTGGCTTGCTTTCTGATTAGAAACAGCCAGAAGACGCACACTGGCCATGTCCACACGAAACGCGGATAGTGCAGTTCTTACTGCACAGTCATTTAGTACTTGTTTATATAATTTAGTAAATGACTGTGCAGTAACCCAAGTTACTGTGCAGTAGCTCCATCAAACGGCTTTTTTGTGATGCTGACTGCATAGTAGCCTGAGACTACTGCACAGTAGTGCCACATCATGGTTGATGCCATGTGATGCTACCGCACAGTAGTCTCAGGCTACTGTCCATTCAGCATCTGGTGTAGACATGGTCACTGAGAACCATTAACCATTTGACTATATATTGTGTCCATGTTCACACAGGGAAAAGCACTCCCTCTTTTGGCAGTGCAATTCTATTGCCTGTGTTTACAAGTGGCCAGATTAGACGATTGCAGGGCTGCCTTCTGACCCCAAACTCCAAGGAACATCTGTAGAACTGGGCTGTAATTCAGAATTACGGGGCTCTTGCAGCCCACAATGCAAGAAAAGAAGTAACATTTAGTTTTCCTTGTCTTCTCAGCACTTCTTGTCTTTAAAAATCAGGGATTCAAATATCTCCTTGTAACCTTCAATGACATGGTGTATTCATTCATCTCCATATTTATGAAGCCATTCCAAGGACTGTGAAAACAGAACACACTGTTTAAAATACTATTTAAAGTCTTGATTACCTGTTCTACCTAAGCTGTGCTCCCTGCTCCAAGGCTGCTGGATTTCACAGCAAGTTAGAGTGCCATCAGTGAATGTAGGAGTAATACATGCTCTTGAGACTTTTTATGCTTGCTATATTTAAACCTGACAGATATCTTGTGTTAGTCTCAATTGAAGAGTTTCTTTGTAGATTTAATAATTATATCCCTTTGTCTTCTATTTTTTATCATGAAGTTTCTCCTCTTGAGGGGCTGCATTGCCCTTTTTACAGAAACTTCCATAAGAAATGGCTCTCTTTCAAAATGGCCTCTCAGTGGGACCAAGACCATGGACTAAAGTCAATTAAGAAGCCTTCAATCAAAATGGTCATCGCCTCCAATTATTCCTAAGGAGAGTCATGGTGGCTCCCTCTGTGCTCAAGACAAAGAGGAAGTAAATGGTGACAGTAACTCTTCATGAAGCCAGTATACACACTCCCCCAGAGAAAGATGGGCAATAGATGCCACACTCAAAATGACTACCTGAGATAAGGAGAAGAAATAAAATGAACATTTCTTTAATAAGAAGAAACCATAAACACGATAATGCCTTAATTGTAATTATATGATTTTGACTGTGTCAGTAAAAGGCAGAAGTATGGCTGTTCAGATGCCCTACCTGTGCTTTTCCTAACTTAATATGTATGGCTAGAGGTACTTAGCTGTGTTAGCCTGAGGTTAAGCAAAAGGTCAGGCAGGGTGGCACCTTATAGATTAATTTGTTCAGAGAGGCATGATCTTTCATAGTACATTCATAGCATCTGGCAAAGTAGTCTGTAGCTAATGCCCCCCAAGGAGTTAGTCCGTAAGGTGCCACCCTGCCTTACCCTCTTAATACATTTTGACATCTTTTAAGTCCACTCGTAACTCTAAATTCCCTGGATTTGTAATACTTGATTTAAAGATATTTATAATATTTTCCTAGGTATAGATTTTGTGATAGTATCTCTCTAACTGTGCCCCAGCTTTCCTAAAGGTATCACTTCACTCACCGCTGTTTCTTCAGGGCCTCATCCAAACCCACTGAGGGTCAATTAAAAAGAAAACCCACTTCAAATCAAGCATGAATAATATCACTTCCTTTTATATCACAGTCTGCCTATTACAGCAACTTTCATCAGCAATAGCTGAGTTCCATATATAATTATGTTGAGAGAAACTTAAACTTAAGCTTTTCATATTGATTATCCTGAACCATTGGTGGCATAAGCATTGCCTGGCACAGGAACGCTGATACATGTGATGCTGGAGCCTGCTGGAGCATGGTAATTACACCGCAACAGCAGGCTCGATTAATCAAGTCTGCTCTGATGTGCTGCAATTACCACGCATCAGAGCAGCCTTGATGTACGTGTATAGGCACCCTTTATTTTTAGTAATTTTTTTTTTCCCAGTGGTTCTCAGGGAATGTGAAGTTTTTGTGGTGACCTTTTTTCATGATTTTCATGAAAATTGTGAATTGAGTAGATCCCTACTTATGTTCCATTGCAATCTCAAAGGTCTGCTGAGAGCAACCTTCTGCAAATACCATCAGTTTGCCAAGTTCATTTGGTAAAAACATGTGGGAGGTTGTTCTTGCGAGTCACATCTCAGCTCTACAAGTCTCCTTTGAGCCCATTAGAGTTTGAGTGAAGACATTTTCAGGAACTGTTGTAAGACCTCTTTATGTGGGCAGACCTAAGTTTTGGAGCACAGTTTGTAGAGTTTGTTGCTTTCCACATGCTATTCTATTTTAATAGGTAATCTGTTTTTATCATTTATATTGTTTTCTATTGTCAGTTCCACTGGGCCTTTTCTGAGGAAGGCAGGATAGAAATCTAATAAATAAATAACCGTATTCCCACAGACATAGTGAACGCTATGGGAAGTTTAGAATGACACACATTAGCCAAAGTTACATTTACCTGATTTTCCAAAGTTACATTTACCAGATTTGATCCTTTGGCCCAGATGTGGTGTAAAAGCCAGAAGGAATACTCTCTGCTCCTTAAAGTCAGTATATCATCACTGACTGCCGTGTAACTAGAACAACTGAGGATTTGGCCTAAAGACTGGATGTTAAGTACTATCCCTCATCCTATTTACAATATGTATGTGAGAGAGATTGAGATGGGAAGGGCTATGGAAATAAATTTTCAAAATGTAATATTCCAAATTAATATTATAAAAGCTAAGCAGTACCAGCTACTGTTTTTAGCAATGGTTCATAATCCTTGGGAATCAAACGTGAAGGCACTGAAATGAACACGGAAGAAGAGTAAAATACATAATAGTTGTTGCAGAAGGGGTTAGGACTCAGTCCAGTTGGTGTAAACCCTTTGTTCCCATAAAGAAACAAACAAACCCCAAGTCTGTGCCCCACAGCTTCATGGTGGAATTACGCATAGGTACATTTTCACAGCAGGTTTCCTTTCTGGCCCCTGATGCAAAGACAATGGACATCAGTGTAAAGATCCCTATTGATTTCAATAAGCCTTATACCAGTTCCCACTGATCATTCCAGTTAAACCTACCTATGAAGTAATTCTTGGTTTTGCAAGTTACATACAACGATGGCTGTAAGTAGTATAGGGTATAAACACTACCCTTCTGTATGACTGACTCACTTATCCCATTGTGTTCCACATTATTATGGACTTCTTTTCAAAGAAGGCCTGTAAGCTTGCTTGACAACACTTACACAACCAAAATCACAGTGTTGCATCAGCTGGTGACTTGTTTTTCAGTTGCACCCCATTTTTTGAGCAAAATTATAGAGGCAGGGTTGCAGGCACTGTAAAATATGATCCTATATGCATCTCTCAAGTTTTTCTCTGTTCTACCTCAGACTGAAACCCAGCTTGACCTGGGCTTATAGTCTAATAACCCACTGACCTAGTGTGCTCCTCTTGGTCTGACTGTCTATGACCTAGTTGACCCCGGTAGGCTGTGGCTGTTCCCAATCCTACTTGTCCTTCCCTTCCCCTACAAGTGTATTGTACATATTAAAAAAATTACAACAGAAAAAGTCAGAGGTCCTTTGGTCCCCACCTATGTTGCTGCCAAAGGGCGCCCTTGAATGTCACCCAAAGACACCTGAAAGCTGTCTGGGCATCTTGCTATGGTAATGTTCACGAAGGTGCCTGGGCTGGCCCAGGTAATCTCAGAGGGGGAGGGAAGCAGTAATAGTGGCAGCCCCTGTGAGATGGGAATCTTTTCATTTGACCTGGCAGAATGGCTCAATCTCAGTTTCTGTCATAGCTCATCTGCTGCATGCTCTCAAGCCATAAATCTTGTTCAATTTATAGCAACTATCAGCAAACCATTTTTTCCCATTTTCTTGTCTAAGAACTGAGACAAAGGCTTTTGTACCAAGGGGCGCTAGTGAGATATATCTGTACAGTGAGGAGTTTGTCAAAATCTACAGTTTAGTTTAACTGAATGTATTACCTCTCACTAAAGTAAATAGATTTCTAGAGTCAGACTGAGCTGATGTAAAATGGCTAAGCAACACGGAAATCAACAGAGATATTAACACAAGCATATTGACACAAACTGATTGGCACAAACTAAGATTCTTGCCTTTAAACATGAAGGCCAGAGAATTATTCTTCCGCTGTTATGGAGGTTGCCTTCTTTATTGAGAAATAAAGGACACTGAACAAAATAATCCACTATGAAGAGGATTTCCAAAAGCACCTACACAGGTGTAGCAGGGCACTGGGGTGTGCTTACTCCTTTAAGGGACCTAGCAGCCAGTGGGGCTGTTTGCAGGTGGTGCAAGGGGCTAATGAGAGACTTACCTGACTGGAAGAGGGCTCAGGCTGGAGCTATCTAAGTCCACAGCCTGAGTCGGTCAGGCAGTCTCTCCTTGGCAGCCACGGGGTAAGGAGCTCTGGGCAGCAGAAATTATATAGACAACTCTCCAGGCCTGGGAGCAGAGGCAAGCCCCCTGGGCAGAGAAGGACTGAGTTTTACAAACAAGAGGCCTTTATTTTATTTTGAGCCCACAGAGGGTCTTGGTGCCCAGGGAAGGGCTAAGCTGGACCAGAGAGTCTGGGAGCTTGGAGAAGGGGCAGCATGTCAGACCAGGGGAGTCTGAAGCCCCAAGGGGGGCAGAGTACATAATTAAGCAACATCACAAAGAGAGAACACCCGCAAGGCTTGGGGTGTGGTGTAGAGGAGGTACGGAGCCACACAAGGAGCCGTTAAGGCAACAGGTGCCTGGCATGGGTACAGACAGGCTGAGAGGGCCTGCTAGCCTGGGGGTGCAGGACTGTGACTGAGGGGACCCAGGAGAGGCCCAGTGTTGATGGACACAAGCTTAGGCTCACAGAGCAGCTGCCGTTTGTCTTCGTTAAAAGCAAGGTGTAGTGGGAAAGATTCAAGTGAAGGGCTGCAGTTGAGCCTGAGCAGGACAGGGGCCACATGGCCATCAGGGGCATCACAGCCAATCCAATGGCTGCAGACTTGGTCCAACAGGTGCCTAATTGATCAGGTGCATTTTTAAATCCACTGGGTACATAAATACCTTCATAAGGCTGGCCCTGTAAGCCTGAGACCACTGGGACTCAATGATCTGCCTAACTTCAAATATTTCATTTAAGCTGGTTGAAAAATGTATGAGATAGAATAGTTTCCTAGTGGAAAAAGCACTTATTGTACACTTTTTCAGTTTATTTTGTTATACTTTTATATCATAAAAATTGTAATTAATCTGATGTTATTTAAATGAAACAATTAAGGCCTACACTTTCAAAAGTCACCATGAAAATATATGTGACCCAAATGATGAAAGGGGAAACTGGGAGACTGGTTTTGTGATTCTCTGGTTTATTGAGGCTTCTTAGCAAACTAGATTTAAAAAAATGCTTTCACAACATAAAATATTCAGACTCTAGGCTTATGTCCTCAGGTACAGACAAAGACCACTCACTACAGTGGAAAGATTTTATACCCAACATACATTTAACAGAGGCCCCTGCTCCCTTCTCCTGCTGGAGGGGCAGGCACCTCCTCCATCTCCCCTGCTATCAGCATCCAGACAGCTTCCTGCCCGCACCTCCTCCCCACCCCCCACACATACATGGAGCCCCCCTGGACAGTCCCCAAGCCCTAGCCCTTCAACTCCTGCTCCCCATAGACTTACCTGCATCCAGCTGCTGGGGTTGCTCCCACTACCTTGCCTGGCTGTATGTCAGCCATGTGAATGTATATGCGCAGACACACGTGATGCCCTCTGTCTCCCATCACCCTTCCCCCACTCCCACCAGCCCCAAGCAGCTCCTTGCTGATGCTGAAGGTGAATTTTAATGCTGCGCAGAGCACAATCCCAGACATTTGTTGATATTTAAAAAAAACTGCCCAGATGGAGATCAGAGTACCCAAAATGAGGACATGTCTGGAAAAATCTGGACGTATGGTAACCCTGCACTTAGTGAGAACCATGTCAAGAGGCTTTAGCATACACAAGAATCAGGTCCTGCCTACCATGTCTACTCACTTCACAGTAAACAGATGTTCACTACCTTCCAGCCTGCAGCCTCCCTTTGTCCTCTGAGTCAGGCCAACACTTACATATCACCACTTTTCAATGATTCTGCAGGTGTTTCTGTACCCCAGTAACATCTGTACAGGCCCTTTCAGTGGGTTGACCCAGGTGATATGGGACAGGATTGTTAGTCCTGCACTATCTTTGTTATTGGTTATGAAGTGTGAGAAGGAAAGAGCCCAAGGCAAGCAGGAAGCATAGGCAATGCATAGGGGTGCGCACGGGTTCACGTGTACCCCTGGAGATTGATTGCCGGTTGCCACCCTCCACCCCTCGCCGCTGACATTGCGGGTGGCATCTGCGGTGGTCATCAATTGCTGGTCGGCACTTGCCCTCTCCCCCACTACTGGTAGAGCCGTGGCCACCTGTGGAAGCTCCCTGCTCACCATCGTTGCCACCGCCTGAGGGCAGTCGCCATGCCCCACCAGCCTCGGGAGACATGCAACGGTCATGGCAGGAAGCATATTTATTTGTGCATTTGCTTTCCATCGAGTCTTAGCTTAAGTCTCGTCCGTGTACAGGGCAGTGCCCTGTTGTGCACACTGTCAGGAAGTAGATGGTGACTCAGAGTTCCCAGCTTGTCATTTATTCTTCTTATTTCATCTTCCTAAAGACAGAATAATGCCACACCTTCTGGGACATACTGGCACAATTCTCAAAGACAGCTATCAGGACCAACTCATTTCTAGTAAGAGTAGAGTAGTCTGGGAACTGAGCAAAGCCCTTTGTTTTACTGAGGGTGTAATTATTTAAGGGCTATCAACCCAAAATAGCTCCTCACCTAAGGCAGGGCATAGTTCTCAAACCATTTCTCCCTCTGATTCCCACAGCTGAGGACAGGACACTGGATTAGGTGATCAGTAATCTGTTACTGTACAGCCATGCTAAAGTTCCTGTGGGCACATCTGCATGTTTATTAATGTACTTTTCCTAATGCACATTAAATTTAGTACCTCTGAGCACCTATACATGAGCAGAAAGGCTGCTCTGATGTGTTGTAATTAGTCAATTCATAGAATCATAGAAGTAGGGTCGGAAGGGACCTTGTAGATCTTCAAGTCCGACCCCCTGCCTGGGCAGGAGGGAAACTGGGCTCAAGTGACCCCAGCCAGGTAGGCATC